GGGGCGGTCAGCAGGCATAAGAACACAGGGCTCTGTGCCCAGAGGAGTCTCCAACAGGCAAGTCACACAACGGCAGGGACAGTCACAGGGACCCAAAATATGAGCCTCGTGTCAGGGCAGCCCAAGTTCAAATCCCATCTCTGTCCCTTCCTTGCTGTGGGATCTTGGACGAGTGGTCTTGCTTCTTATTACCTCAGTTTTCCGTATCTGCAAGATGGGAATGAAAAAGCCCACCTGGACGGGTTGTTCTGAGTGGAGGTACTGGGTACCCAGTTGGCACCTGAGACGTGGGAGTTAATGATGTCACACCAGCCTCTCGGTTTCTGTTACTCTTGGCCCAGGGCTGCGCCCCAAGACCCGGAGACAGGAGAGGGCTTCTGAATCCCTGTGGAGAAGCTTGCTAGTGAGATGTGAGGGAAGTCGGATGGACAGGAAGCGCTCGTCACAGCCCTGCAGTGGAAGGGCCGTCTGCCCCTCCGGATGCTTGGACATGCTGTGACAGGACAGAGGGACATGTTAACCAGCCTTGTGGATTGCTGCCGGGGTCCGTTAGAACAGACCCGAGTTTCAGGTGTGGCTGGTGATCCTGATCCGGTTCCTTTCAGAGTCCCAGTTTCAACACCTGTTAAGTGGGGATAGTAATCCCCGCCCCACCCCCGGGGGCCTTGTATGGAGACGGGGAGATAAGGAAGGCCAGGCCCAGCCAGACGCCTGGCTGTCCCAGCATGAGTGTTCTCTTTCTTCTCGTTATCACTGCTGGCTGTTCTGCCCGGATTCCTACAGAGTGCCCAGTGGGGCTGGGAGGAGCAGAGGAAACGAGACAGGGCCACCCCAGGCAGTAAGGGCCCCAGAGGCCTTGAACACCATGCCAGGGGGCACTGGGCTCCTGGTGTACAAGGGAGCGGGTGGGTTTGGAAGGACTTGGGCTCCGCGATCCCTCCCCGCTCCCCCGGTAGCCCTCCTTGACCCTGGGCCCTGCAGCCCTGTCCTGAGTCAGTGACCCTAGGTTGCTGACATTGCCCAGGCTGGCCAAAGGGAACAGATACTGGTCTTCCTCTCTTCCTCTCTTTGTGGCTTTTCTGCACCTGGTCTCCTGTCCTGTGCTGCCTGGCCCCCCTCGGCATCCCCTCCCTGGAGCTTTGTAAGGTCAGCACTCCCTGCCGGCGGAGCTCCCACGTCTCCCTGCGTCCCGCCTCCCTGCCTTCCCTCCTGCTGTCCCCTGGACTGCCCTCTGCGATTTCCCCCTCCGCTGGCAGTGCTCCTTACAGATGTCTGCCACAAGCCCTGTAAGGTCCAAACTGCCCCCATTCTAATCCCACTTCTGCAGCTTCCTGGCTGGGCAGCCTCAGGCAAGTCACTTAACCTCACTGAGCTTCTCCTCCTTCATCTGTAAATGGGGCTAATAATAGTTCTAACCTCCTGAGACTGACGTAGAGACTGAGCTAGTAACAGGTAAATGCCACACACGTAAGAAGCCTTCAAATTTATTGAACAAAATTTTTATGGAGCGCCCACCATGTGTCGCACACGATTCAAGGGGTTGGGGTGCAGCAGTGACCAGAACAGGCCACAGCCTCCGCCCTCAGTAAATGTCAGCTCTGATTTAGGGATCTATTTGCATGACTGCTTTTCCCACCTCCCCGCAAGGATGGGGATGGTGTCTAATTCTCTGCGCATCACACACCCAGCTCAGGGCCTGGTCTTGCTGGTGAAGGGAAGGGCAGCTCTCCGATTTGGGGATTCCCTTGGTGTTCCTGATTTCCCTGGAGAGTTTATTGCACCTGAGGGAGCCCCTTCCTTCAGCAGTGGACCTTGTAGGGTCAGGCAAGCAAGTCTGTGAGGCCTCAGCCTCCCTCTCTCTCTCCCAAGCTGCTGCCATTTTGGATGGCCCCGAGCACTGTTTGCAGTGAGGTCCCTCCTCAACGTTGGGATATCAGAGCTGGAACAGCTGCGTGTGAGGCAGGGTTCCCTCGGCTGCAGGGGACAGGATCCCTACTCAAACTGGCTAAAGCAGGAAAGGAAATTCATTGGCTGGGGGGAACTCATCTGTCCAGCAAGGGTTTCAGGCATGGTTGGTCTCGCTCCATCTTTGAGGTCTGCTTCCTTCCTGTTGGTCTCGTTCTCTGTTAGAATCTGCCCAAGTGGTGGCAAGAGTCTCAGGGAAGGCTCTCATTGGCCCACTTCAGGCCCCTGTGCCCAATTCCTGAAGCAGTCATTGGTGGCCAGGGGGATGGGGTATTTTCTTTGGCCAGGTTCAGAGCAGGGGCGAGGTCATCTCCTTCTAAGCCCCGCAGCCTGACGAGGGTGGGGAGGGTTGGCTTTCCACAAAGAAGAGATGTTCAGGCCACTCCCCAGAGGGACACATGAACGCGCCCCACCTGGGAGCAAGTGGAAGTCCAGAAGGTGTCTCTGGATTCCAGGGGCTGCTCATGGAAAGCTTGGGGTTTGCGGAAGGCTACCAGGAAGGGGTGCTTCTGGAGAGAAGGCCAGCATTTCTGTTGTTAAGGGAGTGATTTATATTTGGATTCCTTTCTGGGATCATACATCAGGAAGGAAGAAGGGAACAGACGTTGCTGGGCCCCTATTCTGTGCCACACACTGGACTAAGCTCTGTGTGCTTCATAACGCCAAAAGCAAGCATGGGTTTTGGAAGGAAACTCCAGAGGTAAGCAAGGAGGAAGAGAGTGGATGCCCACATCCCAATCCTGTTCCGCCCCTTCCTAACTACATGGCCTCAGGCAGCTTGCTTGACCTCTGTGCCTCAGCTTCTTCATCTTAAAATGAGAGCAGTAATACCCACTGTGCTGTTACGGTCTAGATTATATGAGCTAATGGGTTGAAGTATTTAGAACAACGTCTGGTGCATTGTAAACTTCCAGTGAAAGTTAGTCATTGTTATTTAGTCTGTCTTGGTGGCTCTAACAAAAATATAAACTGGGTGGCTTATAAACAACAGAAATGGACTTCTTGCAGTTCTGGAGACTGGGAAGTCCAAGATCAGGGTACTGGCAGATGTGGCTGGTGAGGGCCTGCCGCCTGGTTCATCGACGGCTGTCTTCTCGTCGTGTTTCTGCAGACGGTGGAGCTGGGGATCTCTCTGTGGGGTCTCTTATGAAAGCACTCATCCCACTCATGGGGCTCCACCCTCAAGGACTAATCACTTCCCAAAGGCCCCGCTTTCTCATACACTCACATTAGGAATGAGGCTCCAACATATGAATTTGAGGGGGGACACAGTTTGCGCCACTCATTATCATTACTACTTTTACTGCAATTAATTGGGGGAAGGGGATAGAAAGTAGAACTCTTATGGTGGAATTCAAGGCATAGCAGCAGGGTTTACCAGGCATCAGTTTGGGGAGGTAGGGGATGCCTTTCTGGAATCCAAAAATCAGACCCAGAGGCTGCTCCTTTAGCTGCATCCCTGCTCATCTCCTGGGGGGTCTTCAGACTTACCTGCCTCGCACACCTGTCCTAGGATGTGCATATTTTATAAGTTGCTGGTTCTGGCTGCCACTTGGCATTGCCTCTCTCTCTCTCCCCCTGCCCCCCATGCTGAAAGGCCCCAGGTCCGTGAGGCCCAGAGATGAGGAATCAGCATTGTCATGGCGACCAGACTTCATCTATGGCTTCAGGGGCTCTGGGAGCAGTAGACGAGTCTCAGTCCCTGGGACTGGCCAGTGTGGGCCCCTCTCCATGACCTGGCTTCTCCCATGAAGCCTCATCTGGGTATCTCTGGTCCCCACTTGTCTGCCCATCTAAGACCTTTCTTAGAGCGTTGGCAGTTGCTATGGAAACAGCTCTTGAGGCAAAACGGCCCACTTGGGCTGAGGAAAAATTCCTCAAGAAAATGGGGAGATTGCTAGATTCCCCAGCTCGCTGAGGGGGCCCCAATTCCTGGAGCCTCCAAAGACTGCTACTTCTGAATGGACCTGGAACTGGCAGATGGATCCTCACCCAGCTCACAGGGCCCCTTGCCTGTCTCCTGCTTTCAGTCTCCCCTCCTCCAGCACAGCCCCCGTATCAGCCGTATGAGTTAGAACTGGGGTCATTTCAGAAAGATGGACACCCCTCTGCTCAAAAACCATCCATGGCTCCCTATTGCCCCCAGAGGAAAGTCGGTGCCTTGCAGGGGTCTTCTTAACAGCCCTGTCTCCTGCCATCCCATTCCACACACTCTCTCACCACACTTGATCAAGCCTCTGTGCCTTTGCACACAGTTCTCTCTGCACGGATGCCTCCTCCTTCCATGGCTCCACTTAGCAAAGGCTTTGCACCCTCCAAGCCTCAGCCCAAATGTCACCTCCACCAAGAAGCTTCCCCTGATATCGCCAACCAGCTTCTCTGTGCTTTGTACAGAGCCAGGGTCACAAACTCGGCCACCAGTGACCAGGAAGGGGACACAGTGAGTAATGTAGGGACTATGTCGTCACTTCTGCAAAGAGATCTGCACTCTCTCGTTACAGCTAAAAGTGAGAATGACTTGGCCCATCTTTCTTACCAGATCGCTCTGATTTCTACACCAGCAGGACCCAGGGCACGCTCTGTGGTGAACTGCCACTGACTCATGGCCCCACAGTCAAGGGAGTATTAGGGAGAGGTGGAGACGGCAGACAACCCCATCCTGTTTGTAATGCAGGCCAATATGGCTGGTTCACTGGAAGTCTGGACTTTAGGTGCTCTGAGGAGGTGCCCCTCCTGGGTGCCCCTGCACCCACCTCCCCTACATGAGGGCAGAGACTGGGCCATCTCACACCCACAGCTTCTAGCAGGGAGTGTGGCACTCAGAAGGTGTTTGCTAGCAGCGTTCTGAATAGATGTTTGAATGCACAGATCTGTGCTGTTTCCTGAACCTGTCAAACGTGCTCCTGCCACAGGGCCTTTGCACTTGCTGTCCATACTGCCTTCAATCAGATAGTCACATGTCTCCCTCTTCCTATATTCAAGTTTCTACTGAAAGGGCACCTTCTTCGAGAGGCCTTCTCTGAGCACTCAACCTAAAATAATACCCTCTCCCCCATCTCTGTGCCCCATTCCTCTTTATATTTTATCTGTAGCATATCCCACCACCTGCCACTATAATCATTCTATTTTCCCGGCATTTACATGGTGCTTCCAATGAACCGGGCATGCTTCTAAAACATCAGCAATGTGAACTCATTTAATCCTTCGAACAAACAACCCTGTGAGGGAGGAGCTACTGTCCCTGCTGTTTTTCAGATGAGGAAGCTGAAGCACAGAGAGGTGTGGTGACTTGCCTGAGGTCCCATAGCTGGTGAGTGGCAGCGCAGGGACTCAGACTCAGGCTGTCTGGCTCCAGGGGTGATGGCCTTATTCGTCCCGCCTTTCTTTATCTGTTTGTTCCTATCTGCCCCCACCCCTGGAGAATGCCAGCCCCCTCAGTTCCCAGATCCAGGCCTGGGGCCTAATAGATGTTTAATAAATATTTCTTGGAAGGATAGAGCAAAGGAGATGGGAGGATCAGAGAACTGGAGGGAAGAATCCCTGGCCTTCAGAGCTTTCCGGTAGCCCAATGTCCAGGCCATCTTGCCGGAAGTTTCTCAGCCTCCCTGAGGGTTTGAGTCAGCCTGTCTGGGAGAGGCCCC